ATCAAGCCACTGCATTCCAGCCTGGGTGACAGAGCAATACTCCATCTCAAAATAAAAATTAAACATAAATATAACTGCTTTGGAAATAAAATCGCTAAAGTCTCAGGTATTGTCTTACGTAAATGCTAGACTTATATTTCTGCATACTCATAATATCTGCAAATAAGGACTCAATAATTATTTGATAATATTAGTCATGATTTCAGTTGAGGTGATGAAAATATACAATCTCCCTGAAAGGTGGAAGTGGGGGGAGAAAGGAAGGCTGGAAGGCCTGGAGGAAAGGCAGGCAGGGGACATGTTTCTAGGTGTGTTGGAGGACTGGGCTGTATTAGAAAGTGCTCTGGTATACCAATTTTGACCTTGCAGCCAGGAAGGAGCACAATGAGGGACAGATACCATAGGGGTTTAAGATAACATTGAGACTGAATAGTCTAGAGCTAAGTTTTGCAATGCAAAGGAAACAAGGGAAATGAGAAACCAAGTTTCACTTGTCTGTGGGGTCAGGAAGCCCATTCAACTGATGAATAAGAAGGGGGAAATAAGGCAAAGCCCAGAGAAATTCACAAGGTGGAGTCACATCTTCCCCGTGACTTATTTTATGTGGCACTGCAGGACTTGGATATGGGAATGCTAGGGGAACCTAACAAAAGAGACAGCTGATGATGGCCTAGGTACAACTGACTTTTTATTTTTACAGATACATCTGAAAGCCACTTTAAAACACTTCTAATCAATCTTAATTTCTTTATTTTTTAATTCAGTGTGTTTCCATATCACAGAATTTTAAAATGGCAGTAGGTTATTTCCTTTAATGATCATGAATAATAACCTCCTTCTCTTTTTAAATGAAGCCAAGAAATTTATTCCTAATTTAAACTAAATTCTATGTAGCATTCCTCTGTAAACTATAACTAATATACTAATAAAATCTATAGAATTCTATTTTAAACATAATTGTTATAAGATAAAATAGGCATTCTTTTCTATACTTGTGATAAACATACTAAAAATATGAGAAATAGACCTTTTTAATTGTCATTAAAACTAAACTGAATTAATTTTAAAACAGAAGCTTAAATTCTTGGTTAATATGAACACCCTATATATACCAAAGAGTTATTAAGTGGAAGAGGTTATTTTAACATACAAAAATTGTTATTTTTTGGATATGGATTTAATTTTGAGTGCTTTTCAAAAAGGCCGGTTTTTAAAAACTATTTAAAGGTCTTCAACATTTAAGATTAAAGATACGAGAATGTCAGTGTCATGAAAACTTTGCTTTAGTACAATTGTTTTCATTTTAATCAAAAAGATTTTTTCATGCAAGTGCCCCAAGTAGCTTATATCTATAGGCACTGATCAGGAGCAAATAATACAAGATCTTGGGGAGCATTGATGCTAGTGCTCATCAATTGTTGAACACACACATGTTCTTTCTTTCTTTTTTTCTTTTTTTAACTTGGTGCTAACATCGTTTAGATAAAACTGCAGGAATATCATTGGGAGTCTTCTCAGTTCAAGTCTGGCCAACTTGAACTGTACTCATTGGTGAGCTGTATTTTTTTTTTTTTTTTTTTTGTACAGAACCAGGCTCTTCCATGTTTCTTCTCAACTTTCTGGGGGAGAACATTGTGGTCAGCAGATTCTGAGAGCTACTTCTATCTGCTAAAATTTGTGTATATTAGCAATTGATATGATATGTACTGTTTACCAAGATATACCTTTTCTTATTTCATTCTTCTAGGTCTTCCATCTTTCCTGTACTTTAAAGCAAATATTGTAATGTCTTTTTAATAAAAATAAAAATGCTTATTAGAGGAAATAAAATAATAAAGAAGAAAATTTAGATTAGTTTACATTTGCTAACAAAAATAATTTAATTTTAGTACTTAACTTTCAAAAACATACTCTCTCTCATCCTATTCTCTAACCTCCATCAGGCCCCAGTGTGTGTTGTTCCCTCATGTGTCCATGTGTTCTCATCATTCAGCTCCTACTTATAAGTAAGAACATGCAGTATTTGATTTTCTGTTCATGCGTTAGTTTGCTGAGGATAATGACTTACAGCTCCATTCATGTCCCTGAAAAGGACATGATCTTGTTCCTTTTTATGGCTGCATAGTGTTCCATGGTGTATATGTGCCACATTTCCTTTATCCAGTCTATTATTGATGGGTATTTAGGTTGATTCCATGACTTTGTTATTGTGAATAGTGTTGCCGTGAACATATGAATGCATGTACCTTTATAATTGAATGATTTATATCCTTTGGGTATATATTGAGTAATGGGATTACTGGGTCAAGTGGTATTTTTGGTTTTAAATCTTTGAGGAATCACCACATTGTCTTCCACAGTGGATGAACTAATTTACATTCCTACCAACAATGTAAAGTGTTCCTATTTTTCCACAACCTCACAAGCATTGATTGTTTCTTGACTTTTTCATAATCACCATTCTGACTGGCATGAGATAGTATCTCATCATGGTTTTGATTTGCATTTCTCTAATGATTAGTGATGTTGAACTTTCTTTCATATATTTGTTGGCTGCACATCTGTCTTTTTTTGAGAAGTGTCTATTTATATTCTTTGCCCACTTTTTAATGGGCTTTTTATTATTATTATAAATTTGCATAAGTTCTTTGTGGATTCTGGCCATCAAACCTTTGCCAGATGGATAGATTGCAAAAATTTTCTCCCATTCTGTGGGTTGTCTGTTAGCCCTGATGATAGCTTACTTTTCTGTGCAGAAGCTCTTTGGTATAATTAGATCCAATTTGTCAATTTTTCCTTTTGTTGTAATTGCTTTTGGTGATTTCATCATAAAATCTTTGCCCACATTTATGTCCTGAATGGTATTGCCTAGCTTTTCTTCTAGGGTTTTATAGTTTTTGGTTTCACATTTAAGTCTTTAATCCATCTTGAGTCAATTTTTGTATAATGTGTAAAAAAGGGATCCAGTTTCAATTTTCTGCATATGGCTATCCAGTTCTCCCAGCAGCATTTATTAAATTGGAAGTCCTTCTGCCATTGCTTGTTTTTGTCAGGTTTGTCAAAGATTAGATGGTTGTAAATGTGCTGTTTTATTTCTGAGTCTCTGTTCTGTTACATTGGTTTATGTGTCTGTTTTTGTACCAGTTCATGCTGTTTTTGTGCCTGTAGCCTTGTAGTATAGTTTGAAGTCAGGTACCATGATACCTCCAACTTTGTTCTTTTTGTTTATGATTATTTGGCTATGCAAGCTCTTTTTTGTTTTTATATCAGTTTTAAAATAGTATTTGTTCCTAATTCTGTGAAGAATGTTAATGGTAGTTTAATGGGAATAGCATTGAATCTATAAATTGCTTTGGGAAATACGGCCATTTTTATGATATCAATTCTTCCTATTCATGTGCATGGAATGAGTTTCCATTTTATTTGTGTCATCTCTGATTTCTTTGAGCAGTGGTTTGTCATTCTTCTTGAAGAGGTCCTTCAGTTTCCTTGTTAGCTATATTCCTAGGTACTTTATTCTTTTTGCGCCAATTGTGAAACAGAGTTTATTCATTATTTGGCTCTTGGCTTGCCTGTCAGTGTATAGAAATGCTAGTGATTTTTGCACATTGATTTTGTATCCTGAGACTTTGCAGAAGTTGCTTATCAACTTAAGAATCTTTTAGGCAGAGATGATGGGGTTTTCTATAATAGATATAGGTTCATGTCATCTGCAAACAAAGATGATTTGAATTCCTTTCTTCCTATTTGAATACCCCTTATTCTTTTGCCTGATTGCCCTGGCCAGAACTTCCAATACTATGTTGAGTAGGAATGGTGAGAGAGGGCATCCTTGCTTTGTGCCAGTTTTCAAGTGGAATGCTGCCAGCTTGTGCCCATTCAGTATGGTATTGGCTGTGTGGGTTTGTTGTATATGGCTCTTATTATTTTGAGGTATGCTCCTTCAATACCTAGTTTATTGAAAGTTTTAACATGAAGGGATGTTGAATTTTATTGAAGGCCTTTTCTGTATCCACTGAGATAATCCTATGGTCTTTAGTTCTGTGAACATGATGAATCATATTTGTTGACTTGCATATGTTGAACCGATCTTGTGATCATCCTGGATAAGCTTTTTGGCATGCTGCTGGATTCAGTTTGCCAGTATTTTATTGAGTGTTTTTCCATTGATATTCATCAAGGATATTGGCCTGAGGTTTGTTGTTGTATCTCTGCTAGGAAGATGCTAGCCTCATAGAATGTGTTAGAGAGGAGTCCCTTCTTTTCAATTTTTCAGAATAGTGTCAGTAGGGATGGTATCAACCCTTCTTTGTACCTCTGGTAGAATTCAGTTGCTAATCTGTCTGGTCCTGGACTTTTTTTGGTATGCTTTTTATTACTGCCTCAATTTCAGAATTCGTTATCAGTATATTCAGGTATTCAATTTGTTCCTGGTCAATAAAACTTTTAATTCTCTAAACTTTCCTCTGAGAACAGCCTTGGTCACCTTCTGTAGGTGTTTTAATATATTGTTATCTCTTAAATAGTACTCTGTAATTTTGATATTTTTCTTTGACTAAATAATTAAAATAAATGCTTCGTTGTTTTTTCTCTAAATCTTAGGTGGTGTTTTTTCTTACTTGGTGTTGTTGTAACTTTAACTTTTTAAGGCTTTTGTTAAAATTTCAAGTTTTATCACATGATGGTCAGAAAATATGAACTAAGATTTCAAAATCATGATTGTCAGCTTTTCATTTTTGCAGAAAATAATTTTTATAAATATTTTAGATACATTTGAAAAGAAAATATATTAATTAATAATTATTGTTTTCATCGGTTTGATAGGCCAGCTTCTGAAAGGATTATGCTAAAGTCAGACTGTTTTGTTTTTTAATTGATGGCAATTTTGAAATATATTTCACTATGTCTTTTAATTATGCTCCACATTGTTATGCATGCAATGTAGAATGGAAATACCTCAAATCACGATAGTAACATAGACAATTCACATTTATCACAGTGGCATAATATTTATTGACAGTTCATGTAATTACAGAAAATCAGGTCCATTATAAACAAATTATCTGCTATCTTTTTAAGTTAAATATATAAATTATTGTCAGAGGTGAGTAGATCTCTGCTAGTTTGATATTTTTTCATTTCTTTAGACATTTTGGCATCTGTTCCTGTAAAGTCCTGTGTATTTGGTTGGTTCACTATAATTCTGCAAATATTAAGAAAATATTAATTGTGAAATACATTGAAAGACTGTACCTTATTCAAATAATAAATTTTTACAAAGGCATGTATAACCTAAGATAAAAGAACACTTTGAAACTTAGCCAGAAGTAAAATAATGAGTCAGCTGGAAAGTGGTGAATTTCAGCCTGATTTTACTCTTTAAAAAAATGTACAAAGTGATAAAAAAATGAATTAAACTTTTTGGCTTAAAAATGTAATGCGATTCTAATCCCACACAGTTAGAGTTTATAAACTGAAAATAACAGACAGACGGTTGACTAATATAAAATCTAAAAATGTGCAGAAAAGCTGCTTTAGAGAATTGGGTAAAGGCAATTCTGTATGTGACCTATTTTGACTGGGTTTATTGTCCTCCAGGGAGGATCCATATTCTCCATGGACATAATAGCTAAATAGCATTCAGTTAATTCACAGAATTACACAAAAGTTAAAGAATTGTCGTTCAGTATGCTCTTGCTTTTCATAGTTTTAATGTGGATTTTCCCCATTTTTTAAACGTTAATTCTCTGATTTATTATTTCTACCTTTCATTTCCCTCCCTCACTTCCTTTAATTATCCCTTTCTCCCTTTTTTCCTTCTCCTCCCTCTTCTGCTTTTTGTCCCCCTCTATTTAGTGGCTGTTTGGTTTATGACACATAGTTATTATTGATCCATGCAAAATGACTTTCATTTACTTATTTAGTTAGTTGATTATTTTAAAATGGTAATTTGCACCTAAGAAAACACTCTTTGAAGCCTGTAATCCCAGCACTTTGGGAGGTCGAGGCGGGTGGATCACGAGGTCAACAGATTGAGACCATCCTGGTCAACATGGTGAAACCCCGTCTCTACTAAAAATTACAAAAAATTAGCTGGGCATGGTGGCGCGTGCCTGTAATCCCAGCTACTCAGGAGGCTGAGGCAGGAGAATTGCCTGAACCCGGGGGCGGAGGTTGCGGTGAGCCGAGATTGCGCCATTGCACTCCAGCCTGGGTAACAAAAGTGAAACTCCGTCTCAAAAAAAAAAAAAAAAAAAAAAAAAAAGAAAACACTCTTTTGTCCCCCAAAACTAGGATTTTGACAAAAAGCTGTATTTAAATCGCCAAACCATTCTCATTCCTCCTGAATAACCAACAACGCTCCTTTGCCTTTTAAAATACATTTGTCTTGCATCTGATATATTCTCTAAATAAATGAAAAAACTCTAAATAGTTATACCTTTATAACATGTATTTTGTATACTTACTTGTTTAATTTAATATACTGCTGAGATTTATCTATATCTGTGGCCACCTCTGTAGTTCATCCATTTTGACTGCATGCATGTGAATTTACCATACACCGTGATTGATTTGTTCACTCTCCTGTGGACATTTAGGACAATTCCAGTTGAATTACTCAAAACTGTCAAGAAAGATATTATTACAAGTATACTCAAACATTTGTAGGTGATAGAAAAAGAGGGAGTAGACTGGGCACAGGGGCTCATGCCTGTAATCCCAACACTTTGGGAGGCCAAGGAGGGCAGATCACAAGTCAGGAGTTTGAGACCAGCCTGACCAATGTGGTAAAACCCTGTCTCTACTGAAAATATAAAAATTAGCTGGGCATGGTGGCACATGCCTGTAATCCCAGCTACTCACTGAGGCAGGAGAATTGCTTGGACCTGGGAGGTGGAGGTTGCAATGAGCTGAGTTTGGGCCACTACACTCCAGCCTGGGTGACAGAGTGAGACTCCATCTCAAAAAAAGAAAAGAAAAAAAAAAAAAAAAAGGGAAAGAAAAATAGGGACTATTTTCTCATTTATTTTTCAAGGTTAGTATAACCTGATACCCCCAAAAAGAACATTATAAGAAACAAAAATTACCCCTCCTTCTTACTCATAAGTATGAACGTAAACATTCTAAACAAAACATTAGCAGATTGAATCCAATAATGAATAAAAATACAAGATATCAAAACCAAGTTGGGTTCCCTCCATGTTTCTATATAATGTAACATTTGGAAATAGAGAAATACAATTCATTATGATAACAGATTAAAGGAAAAAAAGATTGCTAATGTTTAAAATATATTCATGATAAAAATATTCATTCATTTAGAATATGACAGACTTTCTTCAACTGATAAGAAGTACACATCAAAGGCTTAAATAAATATAATACTAAGTGGGGAATATGGGAGGCATTGTTTTAAAGTCAGAAGGAAATGCAGGGGTGTTCACTATTGCCACTTCTTTAACATTGTAGTGAAGGTCCTAGATAATAAGAAAAGAAGATAAAATATTTAGGGTACAAGAATTGTTAAGGGAGAAATAAAAACAAGTATTTGCAGATAACTTGACGGTCTACATAGAAATTAAAAAATCTGGAGATAAAGTTTTAGGTATAATAAGAGAATTTCCAAAGCCTTCTCCAACATGAAACTCCTGACATTTTGGATAATTTGCTGCTGTAGTGCACTGTCCTGTGCATTGCAGGATGTTTAGTAGCATCTTCGGCCTCTTCCACTGGTTGCCAGTAACATCACCTTCCCAGCTATGATTATCAAAAATATCTGCAGACACTGTGCCAAATATCCTCTGAGGGACAAAACCACCTCTAGTTGAGAACCACTGAGCTAGCTATAAGATTAATACAGACAAAAGTTAGCTACATTCTATATACTAGCAGCAAAGTAATAGATAATATAGTTTAAGAAACATTAACAGAAGTATCAGATAATATTAATTATCTAGGGATAAATTTACAAAAATGGTTAGGTGCTATGTAAAGAAAATATAAAACTGTTTTATGGCTTACAAAATAAGGTCTAAATAATGGAAGCAAGTAATACACATGGATAGAAAGATAATATAATGATATTAAGTCTTTCCCAATTGATTTATATATTTTATAAATTAGCCAGTGATAACCCATACAGTGCTGTTCATGGAAATTATTAAGATGGTTCTACATTTAAAACTTTTTAAAATAGAGACTGAGTGTTGCTTTGTTGCCCAGACTGGTTTTGAACTCTTGGGTTCAAGTGAACCTCCTGTGTTAGCCTCCCAAAATGCTGGGATTACAGACATGAACCACCATGCTGGCCAGATTGCTCTACATTTTATATGGACAAGTTTAAAGCAAAGAGAAGGTAGAACACCTCTAAGAAAAAAAATAGGAAACTTATACTGCTGTGTCTTATTCTAAAACTTTAGTATTTATATTGGCCATTGGTATTGGGTCAAGGATGGACAAATAGGTGAATGCTGTAGGACAGGTCAGAACAAGATCCATTTATAGATCTTAGATATAAAACAGAAGCATTGCTCCAGCCAGTAGGAAAGAGGGGATTATTCAACAAAAAGAACTGAAGAAAAATGGCTATAAATATGGGGAAAAAAGTGAAATCAAGTTTCTACCTCATATCCCACACCTACTATGGTAGGGATGTCAACTACAGGTATATTAAATCAAAATATCCAAAGTGAAATTTAAAAACTCTTAGTAAAAATGTTAACTAATAACTTTTAGACTTGGGGGTACAAAAGAGATTCTTACACAAGCCATGAAAGCATTCATTATAAAAACTGATAAATGTGACTGTTGTAAATCTAGATGGAAAGAGAATCTTTCTTTTCCACCAACACAGTGGACTAGTTGATGAGAGACCTTTTCCTAGTACAGCAGATTTGAAAAGGTTGGACTATATATACACACATGTGCACACGCACGCCCACACACACACTTCTTTCATATATGTACTCATCACTATTAGAGATGCAATGATTAATAAGGCAGAATCCTTTTTAGGTCAGACATACACCTTTTAAGTCATATATATGCACATTTTTATAAATAAAGTATTTAATGTCCCCCAGAAGAAAGAATAAAGAGCCTCAAGTACATAGATGAAGAGAGGAGAGCTGCGGTGGCTCAGACCCATTTTTCTGGTGTATGAGGAGGTGAGACTAGGCATTCAACGTTAGCCTGGGCAACAGAGAAACCTCTTATCCATTAAAAAAAAAATCTGCTGGTCACTGTGGCTCATGCCTGTAATCCCAGCGCTTTGGGAGGCCAAGGTTCAAGAGATCGAAACCATCCTGGCCAACATGGTGAAAGCCCATCTCTACTAAAAGAAATACAAAAATTAGCTGGGCGTGGCGGTGTGCAGCTATAGTCCCAGCTACTCTGGAGGCTGAGGCAGGAGAATCGCTTGAGCCTGGGAAGGGGAGGTTGCAGTAGGCCAAGATCATACCACTGCGCTCCAGCCAGGCAACAGAGTGAGATTCCACCTCAAAAAAAAAAAAAAAAAAAAAAAAAAAAAGAAAAGAAAAGTAAAAAAGAGAGAGAAATTTTTGTTACAGAACGAAAATATATTAGATTCAGGGTATTGTAACATATTTTGGTTTGTTCTCAGATTCCTAAGATATATTACTTAATCTTGCCTAATTGTTATGTATTCTTTTTCATTTTTTTCCTTTAGCCAAGCACTTGATATTTATATATTTTTAAATATATATTTTATTGCATTTTAGGTTTTGGGGTACATGTGAAGAACATGTAAGATTGTTGCATAGGTACATACATGGCAATGTGGTTTGCTGCCTTCCTCCCCATCACCTATATCTGGCATTTCTCCCCAAGTTATTCCTCCCCAACTCCCCGCCCTCCACTGTCCCTCCCCTAGTTCCTCCCCACAGACCACAGTGTGTGATGCTCCCCGCCCTCATAGGCAGGTGTTGAACAATGAGAACATGTGATATTTTAATAGTCTCTTTTGTTACTTTTCTTACAAGAGACTTTATTTAAACCTCCTGATTCATCTGCTTCCCCGAGATGTAGATCATGGAATAATGGATCTTTTCGTATTTTAAAAGTTTAATCAGCTTATTTGAGTACTATAAATGCAATTATGGGTTCTATTTCTATTTCTCAAATCATACTATTCATTAATGACAATGACACATTGCACTCTTAAAGCACCTTTAATCCAAGGATCATAAAGACATTTCCACGGGAGAAATTACTATCGTTAGCTCAGTTTCTTGATAGATCAAGAAGGAGAGTTGGTTCAGAGAACAGAAATGCCATTCAACTGCATTTCTTGTCCTGTCTTTTTTTTTTTCAAACACCAAAACAGTTAGATAAAGAAAACCATTTTCAACCTAAAATTGGGCACACATTTTTAATATTTGGCTTTTATGAAAACCAATTGTGTATTTTAGCCAAGGTAAATAACCATGGATACTTATTCAGTGCAAATTCTGAATAACCATTACACTTTCTCAAGTCCACCTTATATATATACACGTTGCAGTAATTAGTATTAACTCTTAAGGAGAATCTAAAACAAGTTATTAATCCATGCCAGTATCTGATACTCACTCTACACTATTCTTGAAGCTTTATAATGTGACATGAAGTGAAACACTTATTTGCAGATTTAATATGATTTCACTTATTTATTTAATAACTATTCATTGTGAACTCAGTAGATACTTGAATGTTATGAGTTTCTGCTGGAAGAAATAGACTGAAAATCTGTAAGGACCCAAACAGAATGGAAGTTTGTTTTTTACTCACAAAATTATGCTAAATCGATGGTGGATTAACAGGTTAGTAGCACAGATCTTCCTGCACTCACAGTGGAATCCAGCCTAATGTGAGTTCTGTCATTTTTATCGTGTAGATACTCAAAGTATCCAGCATGACATTTTCATTCTAGCAAGCCAGGAAAAGGGAAAGAGCATAGAAGACCACTTAGGTAGTTTTAATGCACTCCTAATTAGTGCATATCATGTGTGCTTACATTTGGTTGTCTGGAACTAATAATTTTTCCATGCCTAAGTGCAAGGAATACTGGAAAGGGGTACCCTAGATATGTGCCCAGGAAAAAGATAATTTGGATTTGGATGCTCATCCAACAGTTTGAGCTATATATATGGTAGAGAATGTGATAGAAATATTTTCCAAAATCACAAGCATATCATCCAACAATTTATATTGGTCAGTTAAATAAGCCATATATTTTTAGATACAAGTACTTTGAAGGCAATGTTTGTAATAGTGAGTGACAGGGATAGGAATCAGGCTAAATTAGATATGGTGATCTGACAAGCCTCTCTCTTGATATTTGGGGTGGGATGTGAGTGATGAGAAGAAGCCAATCGGAAGATCAAGTGGGGAAGAACACTGGAAAGAGAAAACAGAAAACAGAAAATCCCTGGGATAGAGCAACCTTGATGCGCTTGCAAACAGAAAGAAGACCAGGTTGGAAGGAGTATAGAAAATGAGCAGGATCAGAAAAATAAGAGACTTAAATGCCATGATAAGCATTGTGTTTTATTCTAAGTGAAGTGGGAAGCCACTGAAGTATTTCA